TCTCAGCCAGCCCTCACCTATATACTGAGCATGATGTTGTATGATATGGAACATTCCACTGGCCAATTTGGGTCTGTTGCTCTGGCTGTGCTCCCTCCCACCTCCTTGTACACTTACACACTAGCAGGACATGAGAAGATGAAAATTCCTTGATTTCTTAGAAATAGCTAAAACCATCTGTGTATTACATTCTTCTCATAGCAAATCTCATGCTGAATACAAAACACAGCACTACTCTATCTACTAAGAAGAATTAGTCCTATCCCAGCTGAAACCAGGACACCACCCTGGGAGCAAGCGATTCCAGATATGTTGGACAACCCTCCAAGTGAAAGAAAACTTTGGCCTGCAACTCTCTTGGCAAAGGGATGACAAAGTCGATGAATCAGCGTGTGGATGGGAATCAGAGAGTCCCAACCTGTGCGATATCACTGCTGGTGCACTCTTGTAGCAGCAATCAGCTCCTGCTGTTCTCAACCCTGGACAAGCCCAAAACACGAGGGTCCTCAGAGAGACCTGGCAAGGTGGACAACTGTCCAGTTTCCTCCATCTCCAAGGCAGCGATACCCAAAGCCCACCGGTACCCTTTGGGTCCTTGAAATACCCTCTCCTGAGGTAGCCTATGCCCAGGGTGCACGGGGCCCCTGGGCCACTCACAATGGGTGTTGAGGCCACCCATTCCCAGTCAGGCTCCCTTCAGCTTCCCATACAGGCCTGGTTGGGACCCCCTGTCACTGCCCAAATACTCATGGGTTCTGCCCCTTTATAGTTTGATGGCTTTAGGGTGCACTGGGCACCAGTGTCCACTACAGCCTTACACCCCTGTGGATCTGACGGGCCAGGCCATCGGATCCACACGGTCCAGTAAACCCGGTTGTCCCCTTCCTCCACCTGGCTGGCAGCAGGGCCCCTCTAATCCTGGTCATCGTGTTGGTCACTCACTTTAGGTAAACATGAATCCAAAGTGTCTTCCAGAAGCTCAGCAGTGAGATCAGCCCTTCTGCTCTGGGAACTGCCCGCTGGAAACTGGAGTGGCGTTTTTCCAGGAGGAATCCCCTTTTGTGATTGTTTTTCCTTGCAGCTCACATATTCGTGGCTCTAGGATTGAGGTGGGTTTTCCATCCCCCTTCCTCATGTCCTCTCTGTGGTCACAGGGTAATAAATGCCACAGGGTACCCTGAGGCCTGCACCGTCCGTATCCTCTCCCTCGAGCAGAGGAGCGCCTGCTCCTAACAGCTGAGATATGGGCGCGTACAGGTGGGGAGTAGGGCAGATGCTCTTGGAATTGTTAGAACTCCCGGGACAGTTTCTCCACAGCTGAGACATTTCCTTCATACTGATGGAGTTGGGCAGCCACTTCGTCCACCGTTTGTCCCTTGCCTTCCTTCCAGGACATTGCTGCCAGTGAGTTGGCATACGATGGTGGTGCACTTTGTGGAAACATCCACCAAATGGGTTGTGTGCATTGGACTTGATCCAGATCCGGGGGTAACTGCTTGTAATCCGGATCATTACAGATCATACAGATCACCCCCAGCACGGCTAAATCCCTCAGGCCCTGGATACCTCTCTCTGAGGTGGCCTACCTGCCTGGGTGACATGTAACCTCTTCCTTGAAGCGGTACCTTTCCTTCACACCTGACAGGAGTGGCCTCCTGGGGCTGAGGGTTTGTGTCTTTCTTCCAATCACCTTGTCATTGCCTCCTTCCCTAGACAGGGATCCCACCTGCCTGGCTTCCCTACCCTCTAATTCCAAGCTACTGGTCCTTTATCCCAGCTAATTTATTCCTGTTATTCCATCCCTCACTAAGCAAACTGATTCTTTAGTGTATTTCTCCCATACAGGGGCAACTGATACTGGCACAGGTTGGTTCTCTGGTTCAGCTGTTTTGTCTGTCACCGGGGTCTGAGCAGCCACAGTGTCTGTCACTGGGGTTGGGATAGTGCTTGCCATGAGATTTGGAATAGCTGCAGTACCTGTCGGTCTGTTTTCTCTGCCTTCCCCCTGGGGATGCTGCGTAATGTGGAGCAGTGTTTTGTAGATACTGGCTAGGGCCCAGCACAGGGCAGTAGGTTGTGTCTGTTTGGAATGGCCACAGCATTTTCCTTTCAGATATTCTTTCACTTTATCAGGGTCCTGTAGTTGTTTGGGAGTGAAGTTTCAAACCACTGGAGGTGAGAAATGCTGTAGACACCTGTTCATATTGTCCCACATGCCATGCCACCCATGAACATCCAGCCTTGGGACTGACCTATGGGTGATATGCTTCAAAAAATTTTGTGACCCTAAACACAACCTGAAACACTTTTAGGACACATAGCAATAAAAACACCCTAGCTTGAACATCCAAGAATGTTCAATATTTTCAAAAGCTGTTGTAATTAGCCTGAAGAGTGGGAGAAAGAGTGGGGGGGAGAAGGTGTCCCCTTGCTGTCTTGCCCATAGTTTGGGTGCGATTACTAATGAATTCTAAGAGAAGGTGCCTGAGGTACAGGCATGACGATGATGCTGCACACAAATACCAGCTTAATAGCCTGACCAGTGATGTAACCATATGATAAGTTGACTTTACTCAGCACTACAGCAAAAGTAAACATCATGATAAACATCACTGCAGGGAATACACAGCGCACAGAATTTCCATAACACCACCATGTGAACAAAAAAAACATTGTGACCAGTGGCTATTTAACTAGTATGAGAAACATGTTATCTCAACCCTTTGTGCCCTACTCTGGGTGCCAAAAAGGACTGTCATGGTTTCAGCCCAGCTGACAACTAAACATCACGTGGCCATTTGCTCACTTCCCCCCTCAATGAAATGGGGAGGAGAATTGGAAGAAAACCATAAAATGTTGTGGGTTGAGATAAGGACAGCTTAATAGGACAGCACAAGGAGAGAAGAAACAATAATAACAATAATACTAATGAAAGATCGTGTAAAGCAAGTGATGCACAATGCAGTTTCTCACCATCTGGAACCTGATACTCGGGAAGTTTCTGAGCGGAGATGCCTCTGCCCCCAGCCAGCTCCCCGAGCTGTATACTGAGCATGAGGTCCTGTGGTATCAAACAACTCCTTGGCTAGTTTGGGCCATCTGCCCAAATGAACTCTATCCCAGCCAAACCCAGGACAGCCTCTCTTGGCCAGAAGGAAGCATCAGGTCACCAAGGAAGAAGGTGAGCTCAGAGTATCCCCCCAGGTACCTGCCAGAGGGGACTTTGGCCATGCCTGGCTGTGCAGGCACAGGCCCCCATGCTGTGGGAAGGTGCTCTGGCCTCTTCCCCATCCCATCCCCGGCGTTATCCCCACGGGCACCCTGGCACAGTACTGAGGGTGATGGTGCCGCTGTCCCCTGGCAGTATGCGGGCTGTGAGCCTGAGGTGGTTGGGCACCTGTGCCAAAAGGGTGGGCTTTGTGCCCATGAGAACTGCCTGGTGAGTCCCTGGTCCCCGACACCTCGCAGTCCCTAACCCCCCAGCGCCAACAGCCCCTGGCATGCACTCTCCTTTCCACTCTTGCAGTACCAAGAGGCTTTCTATGGTTTCCTCTTCCCCAACACCTGGTAGAAGCTGCAGTGGGTGGCACAGAAGCTGAGTCTGGGGAGCACATCTCCCCGTGATCCTCATGCCCTGTGCCTGGCACTGCACAGGCCAGCAACCCCCCAGGGATGCTCTGGCAGCTGCAGGAAGCAACCACCAGATCCTCCTTGATCCAAAAAAGGCACATTTCTGAAGGAATTGGAGACTTGGAGAGGATAGGTGGCTTTATTTGGCACACAGTGTCACTGGCCATGCAGCCACCTACTGCGTTGGGCAAGGGGAACCAGGGATTCTCAGGTCTGTGAAGTGCTGATGCCATCTGCCTCTGTGACATCCCCAGAGGTGCTGCATCTGCCGGCTGTGGGGCACCTCAGTCACCTGCCAGAGCCGGAGTTCTCCCCAAATCTTCCACTTCCCCTGCGGCAGCAAGCAGGGCTGCATCGCTCAGCAATTCGAGAGTTCGAGTGTAGCTGTCCGGCAGGGACGGGGCTGGGGCTGGGGCAGAGGAGGGCTGGGGCTGAACCCAACCTGCCCCAGGTCCTTCTGCTGGATGCACCGGCCGGTGCAGCAGGTGTGGGCAGTGCAGCGGGACCAGACCCACTGCCTCACCTGCCAGGAGGTGGTGGCGGGGCAGCCCTGCTGCAACACCCTCATCTGTCCTGCCACTGCCAGTGCCTGGTTCCACTGTTGCTGCATCCAGGCAGGTGGCATCACCCCCAGCCCCTGACAGCATCCCCACTGACATCACCCTGTTGCCCAGCTCCAGGGGGGTGAACAGGACTCCCCGCCACTGATGCTGGTGTTATCTCTGCCCCAGGGACAGGTGCTGCGCTCTGGCCTTCACCAGTTCTGCCACCTGCTCTGCTGGGATGTGATGACCTTCCAGGAGGAGAGATTTCGACTGGGCATCCAAGTCCCCAGCAGGTTGGTACCCCCCATTGCAGCTGGCCCAGACTCCAGTCCCTGGCACAGGGACCCGGTCCTGGCACTTTGGCTGAGGAATAAGAGGCCAGGATCCTCGAAGGACACCCTGACACCCATCTGCCCTCCCAACTCCTGTCCCAGAAACCTGCAGCTCCTCACTAATAGGAGCTGGAACTTGACGCATGGGCTTGCTGATGAGCCTGAGTGCTGCAGGGCAAGAGCTTCCGCGGTGGCCCCGACCCTCCTGTTGGCAGCGCGGGTGCTGCCAGGCCCTTTCCCACCTGGGAGCTAGCCCTGGCAGCCCTGGGGCCGATGCTGGTGTCACCCCTGGGGACCTGTTGGGTGGCACCGGAGGCAAACCTGGGCCAGGGAGGCGGAGGCACCATGGGGGCTGTTGGGCCGCAGATGCCCTGCCAGGGGGGAAGCAGTGAATGCAGGATGTGGGGAGGGCAAGCGGGTCCCCATGGATCCCTTCTCCTGTATCAGGGCTCCAGCCAGGATTACACAGACACCCACAAGTGTTGACAGAACAATCACTTTATTTAGGCATCAAGACTCCTGACTCTTCATTAACAGGCACATTAATAAAGTTTAAATTACATTGGTTTAAATTATTATTTTGATATAGTTTAAATTATTTTTATATTTTTCCTTTTCTTAGCAAAAATACTTAATTTTACTTAAATAAGTTAAATAGAATAAATTTTCCTGTTGCAGAAGGCTACAGTTCAAGTTCTCTCTTGCATGCCTTGGGCTGGAAGCCAAGCCTGCTGGGGGTAGCACTGGGGACATCGTGCTTGGCAGCAGAGAAGTGTCAGTTCTTTAGAGGCTGAAAGTGCTTCAGAAGCGCCTGCACCCAGAGCGCCTGAGGGTCAGCGCACAGCTCCTTCTTCTTCTTGGTGACCAGGCTGTTGGGAGAAAACCCACGTTGGGACGCTTGGCCAGGGCAGGGGGGTGTCCCCATCTCCCTCCCAGCCACCCTCGGGGCACTGCCCCACCATTGCAGCCCAAGCCCCTGGTAGCAGTGGGTACTTACATCACCCCTGGTTGGGTGCAGCTGCTGCTGGTGATGTAGGTGGAGGCGATGAGGCCCCGTGGGACGGGGCGTTGCTGGTAGCTGAAGCAGCAGGTGGTGGGGACACCGTCTGTGAGGGCAGAGAGATAGACATCCCTGGTGAGACCTCAGGCTACAGCACAGGCTCTGGCCCCACCGGCACTTGGGGTTCCCCAGAGATTTGCCGTGTCTAGTCCCCTGCCTTGTGCCATGTTCCCAGTTGATGGCCCTCCCAGAGACCCCTGGCCCCAAGCCTGAGTCCCAGCACTCGCGGTGGTCTCCTGCTGCCAGTTTTCCCCAGAGCCATGAGGGTCCCCACCGATGGGTATGGGGCTTCCCGGCTGCCCCAGCAGGTCCCGTGGAGTGATGGCACCCCCAGCCCCAGGGAGGACGCGGTGACACCAGACTGACTCACCGAGATGGGCCTCAGACGGGGAGCAGGAGGCCACGAGGAGAAGAGCAATCAGGGCAGCTGCGGAGACCTTCATGATGCTGCGAGGCTGAGGGATCTGCGAGCGGGGCTGGAGCTGGGGGTCTGCGGTGCTCTCCTCTGCACGATGCTCAGCCCCTCTGGCGATGCCCTCCTTTTATCCCCAGCCACTGGGCGGGTGCAGGGTTTCAAGGAAAGAAGATGAGTGCATCATACTAGGGAAATTGTGTCAGGATCTTCCAGTTTTGCTGAGCTGGAGAAGGCAAAGAAACCGCAGAAGAGGAAGCGCTGGCCATGAGGCCACGACTTTCAGATTCCATTTGGGTCCCTGGCAGGGACCAGCCAGAGCCCAAACCCCCCAGAACACTGACCCCACCACTGCTGCAAGGACCCCACCAGCCACGAGCCAGGCTGGGGCACGAAGCTGCGTGGCCAGAGCCCTGACAGCAACCCAAAGCAGGAGTAGTGAAGCAACCCCAGCAAGCTCCAGGAGGGGATTTGCTTTGCAACAGCCCCAGCAGCATCACTGTGCTGGGGGCTGCAGAGCTGCTCTGCGGACGGACAGCCCAGCCCAGCTCAGAGCCACGGCCTGGGCACCCTCAGGCACTGCCGCTGTTGCTGGCCAAAAACCACTGCCAGGAGTCACATTCCAGCTTCTCCCTGGTTTTGCCACAAATATGACTTCTCACCCTGCTGCACTGGTCACAGCAGGGACACAGAGTGAGCGCTGGAACAATGCAGTGCACATCCATTTGTCCCCACTGATAGCGCTGATTCTTGGTTGGACATGTGGGAAGATCATGTAGGAAGGAGGTTGTGTTCAGCTATAGGTCACTGCAGGTCTCACATTTGTCCCTTTTTGCTGGCAATATGGTCAAAAGCAGCATTCTCATGCTGGAAAGGTTGCAGAGACATGGAGGACTGCATGGCGTGTAGGTACAGGACTTTGCTGCCCTGCTCCAGGGCTGGAGCAGTGGGATCAGTCTGCAGCCTCGCCTGCCTCCCTCCCTGTCCCCAGGGTGAACAGAAAGGATTTACACTGCCCTAAGGATTTCAGATTTGGCTGCAGTCTGCAGCCTCTTGACAGTCACGTTGTTGCAATTACTGCTTGCCCACTTCTTCCCATGCAGGGTAACTGCATCCAACTGAAGTGCTCTCTACTGCTTTAGCCCCCAAAAAGCAAATCCATACATGTCAGGAGACAGGACACTAAGAGTAGGAGCTAGAGGAAGAAGAGGATTCTGCTATTACCCAGAAATTAACCCATTGCAGCCTTGCAGATGAAACCTTGAGGAGATCATAGCGTGACTGAAAAGGGGCAGCATTTGCAATCCTAGAGGGTAATTCCCAAAAGACCCTGCCAGTGCATACCCAGAAGGAAAGAGCTGCCAAACTTGTTACTTCCTCTTTCTTTTTTCTTTTTCCGGCCTTGCCCTGATGATGCCCCGTGGTGCCACAGAAGGTTTGCTGCCTGGGTCCCGGTTACCATGCAAACCCCGGCCTCCCACTGCCTCCTGATCCTTGTTTGGGCATGACTAACTCCTGCCGCCCTGATTCAAGGGAAGTCTAACTCACCCCAATGCTGATTAATGGCTGTGCCCAGACTCCCATCCTCACTGGATGGCAGGGGTGATGGTCCCCATTCATGCACAGGGATAAACCTCACCATGGCTGAAATGGCCTTTTGCCCAGAAAACCTTCCCCTGCCAACAAGTCCCGGTCTGAAAGATGCAACCCTCTGAGCTATCACTTGTTTGAGAGGAGGTATAGGATTAGGAGTAAAGGTTATGATTTTTCCTTTTAGAAAAGATGGGACAGAGATGAAAATGGGTGTAAATCATCTCACCAGAGGCCTTCAGGAGGAGGCCAGCAGTGGGGAACTGGCCTCAGAGCAGTGGTATGAACAGAAAGGACCTCTCCAGCTCCCTTCTCCAACTGCCCATGTTTCAGCTATTTCTGTTTAAGATGCTCTGTGCCCAGGGCTACAAATGAATAAAACCTCTGAAATTGATGGTGACCAGGGTCTTCATCTGGGGCATTTGAGAAGGGCTTGGAGAAGAGGTTAGTACCGGATGTAAATGCTTGTCAAATGTCACTAGATACACAAATCAGAAAGAAAAGTTTCAGTTCCTCAGAGGACTGGAGATCTGCATGAGTTTTTGTTAATGCCATTGTAGAGTCACTCAGAGGTTTCTCTTAACCTCAAAGTGTCCTCTGTGTGCAGAGAAATCCCAAGTTCAGTGGTTATCCAGGAGAAGCCTTAAGTGTTTTTATGAACGTCTCTGACTGTAAACCCCCATGTCTCCCACAAAGACCCGCCCCAGACCTCTGTCTTCCAACCGCCCCATTTCGACATCTCTCCTGCCCTCAGCAGAGCCAGATTTGTTTTGTTTAACAAGGAGAAGTGTGAGGGAAGACATCAGAGTGCAACAGGCTGTTACAATGAAGGCAACCAGCAACTGCTCTCTGGGTTGACCGTAGGAACAAGATGCTGAGCTACTTGAACCCCAGGGTGGGATACTTGTGGGGAGAGCAGCCCTGAGATGGGGCTGAGCTGGGCTTGGACAGGAGAACCAAGTCACGGGGCCCACAGCTGGGGATGAGCAATGGCAGTGGGCAACGCTGGCTTGGTGGGAGCCCCTTGGCCTTCCCAAGCAGAGAGAAAAGGAGTGGGATAGGTAAGAGCATAGCAATGAGAAACAAGAAATGCCAGGTGGTAAGGAATATCCCACACCCAGCAAATATTAGAAACTGAGATCATGGCAATGACAAGTAGAAGTGTGATGATTTGTGGGCACTAGCTTTAGCAGCAACCAGAGGAAAGCTTGTCATCCAGTAGGAACCACAGAAAATCTCACAATTGCAAAGATTATTTCTGATGGAAATGGTGAAAATATTTCCTCTTTGATGCAGAAGTGGTTTGGCCAAGCTTTCAGTTCTCCATTTAGATGAGAGCTGGATAGGACTTCTTACTGGATGCTGATGAAATACTTTCCATTCTAACTGGAATCGAGGATATTTCAGTGAATTGCACAAAATTGCAGCTCAGCAAAAGTGGACAGTTTGTGTTTAAGTATAGTTAAAGAATTAAATACAAGGAACTGATGTAAAGGGAGAGTGAAGAAATGACTTATGGTTTTATTTCTCCTGCCATGCAAGACCTCTGTCAGCAGATGACTTTCTAATGTAGCAGAGAAACACAGGAGAAATTCAAGGAGGGGAGGGGGGGAAACACAGGTGACCAGAAAACCCAGCTTTGCAAACACAAAAGAATGTCAAATCCCATTAGTTAGGAATGGGATCAAGTAGCCAAAGATTCCACCGCTTTTGGCTTGTCTTTGCAGAAACAAAACAAGAGGTTATGGCCAAAGACTCAACATGATCAAAGCTTAGTGCACAAAGATGAGAAAATGGAAAAGAGAACAACTAAGCAAGGAAGAGGTAGGTAAGGCAGGTGTAGTCAAACAAAAGGGCCCCGCAGATTCCCCTGACTTCCTCCTGAGCCAGGCTGTGGCCATCTCTGAATCACTGGTGATTATCAGGGCAAACGGCCACGGAGTGGGAGAGGTACCAGAAAGCCAGTGGGGAGCAAACAGCACACTGGTCTTGCATTATCTGATGGTTTTGGCACTGCTTTGCATGTGTCTCCTTAAGAAAATGAGGGAATTAAAGTCTAAAAAACACATTACCCCCAGGGGCTGAGAGCACAGTTAGAACAGCAGAGGGACCACCATTCCTGAGCTGAGGGCAGGCAGCTGGGAAGGCAGAGGGGGACAAGCTGGGTCACGGTGACATGTGAAGAGCTGCACTGAGAGAGCAGCCAGGAACAGCCGGGACAGTGTGTGGCCAGAGCAGAGCCCCAGCTCTGCTCAGTACTGGGGTGGCTGCTGCGGGAGAGGAAGTTGCCTGTTAGGGCCTCACATTTCAAGAAATAAGTGATAGAAGAGCGAGAGAGAGCAGCAAGAAAGTCCCGTGTCCAGAAAGACAATGTCACGAGTTTCATTTAGACTAGAAGAGCAGATGAGGGAGGATCTCGGTCACTGGAAGAGGACAGCACCGCTTCTGGTCCTCAGGCCTGCTAAGGAAAGCGGAGACACAACTGCCTCAGTCTGCAGCCAACTTCGGGAAAGCCTCCCCAGCTCTGCAGAGGTTATCCTGAGGACAAATCCCTGCTAGCTGGCAGGATCAGGCTGTATTTCTGGCCCTGAGTCAGAGCAGAGTGATGCTCTCCGCACCTCTTTCAGGAGAGGCTGCCAGATGGGTGGGGCCCTGCTCTTTGCAGCACGAAAGGGGTCACAGCAGCCCTTCTGCCTTCACCAGGCACAAGCACAAGACAGAAGGAAACCACAGGCAGAAAGAAATTAAAGAAATTGTCAACAGCATGATCCCGTGCAAGTGTAAAGAAAACCACATGGCATTATGCAAGATCCGTCTGGGAAGTGACACTCATCATTGATAAAAATTATGCAAAGAGGTCCTGTGGCTAAAGGTTACAAGGAAAACACAGACCAGCCATCGGTCTCACCCTGCAGTGAGCTGTCGCTTTGCATATATTGTTTTATGAGAGTAACTCAGCATTCAGAGTGGAATTCCTAAACCAGTCCCCACAGCTATCTTTATAATTCAAATTCTTGAAATGTCCCTTCCCCTTCAGAGGATCCTGTGCTATCTCCACCAAAGACCCACAGCACACGACAGGGATTTTAATATGGTCCTGGGTGAAAGTTAGACCTGTTGTCCCCCCATCTCATGTGGCTTTGTCACCAAAATGGGATAAAATAACATCAACACAAATGGGATATAGACACTCCTTTATTAATGGCCAGGTGCACAGAGGAGTCATCTCACCAACAATGCACACCGAACTCGTGTAACAGGCTGGTTATATAGGATACAGTAATACATATTAATTAAGCTCTCATACATAAACATGTTGATTCCCGTAACTCATTTTCTTATTCCCACCTCTTCCCGGTCAGGCACACTTGAGTCCTGAAATGAGTCTGGGGCTGCTTTTGTGACCACCACAGACTGCTGACCTAAAAAGAGAGACCCTCCAATGCCCTTGACTCAAGGATTTTGGCTTACATTGTGATTTTAACATGCTTTGAGGCCCTTTCACAATATAGCTTTT